TGATACAGGTAATAGTCGATTTGAATAAAAATAATAGAATATAAAGTCTTTTTTTTCATAGTTCACCGATATATTTCTTCCATATTCCTTTTTAATTTTCACATTTTTTCAAATGTTGCATTGGAAAGTTTATCACTTTCGGATATTATGGGTTCGGAAAAAGACATCGATGATTTCATGATACCATAAGTAGTTAAAATTGAGCTGATTCTGAATGTATTCGAATAAATCTATTCTCATTAATTTGCGTGAAAACGTATATAATCAACAATTAATCGCGGTATTGTTCGAATAATTTTACAATCTCTATTCGAATAAAGAATTATTAACTATTATAAGTAATTATTTAAATAAAGAATTATTTGAATAAATAGATAGAACAATTTACGACAATGTATAATCGTGTTATTCGAATAAAATGTTCGACGTAAGAAGAATTCGTACGGATAATTATCTTAGATAAATATTTATTCGAAACAATTCGAATGAGCGACCAACTCTGTGCAGAATGCGCCGAGAGAAGCGTCTTTTAAAATATCGTTTTCCAATGTCATTTCTCTTCACGTTTCTAATGGCGGCGAGTTTATCGTCGATTGTTCCTTCGGAGGCGTTTCTGCGAAAATACCAGTGATTTAACATTCCTTCGGTGCGCGTAGAGAGTCAAGTAAAGTGGATGCGTATAAAAATATAACGGTCTATTTTAGAAGGAAAGTGATAAAGGTAACCTTTAAGTGCGCGTCCTTTGCAAAAAAAAAAGGAAAGAAAATATTATAGCAGTGTGGACGACCGTACCACTTTCTATCGAACTTTTCTAAAACGCTTTCTTTGGCAAAGGTGACCGCAGTTATTCAACTTTGCGATTGGTGTACTAAGATTTATCGATACCGACTGATTAACACGTGAAAACTGTTTACAACTGTACAATCGAAATTGCAGAACTGAGACTGTTTATCGTCGTTGATAGACTAGATATAAAAACGCAATACGGCAAAATCATTTGCTCATCTGAGAAACAAACTATCATTCGCAGAAAATACCTCTTACCACTTAGAATCACAATACCACGCAATATGTTACACCAGGGGTGTCAAACTCAAAAGCTAACTTGGGCCAAATAAACAATGCTTAACTTTAGGTGGGCCGTAAAAAAAAATCAATGTTTATAGAAACAAATATTTTTATTCTGACTAGTACATTGTAATAAACATATATAAAGTTAAATTATTGTTTACGTCCTGATACTTGACATCAAAAATGTTCATCTCGGGCCGCGAGTTTGACATCCCTGTGTTACACCAAGTTATTACATCCATTTAATTTATTCAAATTTTGTGCTGCTATTTGACGGAGAAATGAAAAACCGATTACAAACAGCCAGAAATATTCATCGTTTGCTAACGACTCTGATCTAATTTGCAAACACGAACGGAGAATCCATAAATCCGTAAGGGTTGACAAATTCTGTGCTTGCAAGGAGAAGAACGCCGTGTATATATCAATATAATATAAATGGCGTATTTCTTTTCTCTACGCCTATCGAATTTATATTCACGATTTTCTTTTATCAGTTAAAGACTACATGCTACAGTTCAATTAACGCATGAACTTACGTTTGTTGTAATCGCGACACGCGGGGCGTATCTCTTTGCAGCCGCCGAATTTAACCCTTTTAGTGCCGGGCGAAAAAGATGCGCTTATGCAAAGGATAACCGGGCGAATTTCACAATTTTAATAGGATTTCGAGAAAGGCTCGTAAAAACCAAACGAAAAGCAATACTCACATAATTGAAAAAGCAGCGTATCAAGGAGAAAATAGAGAATAAAACGGTGACGCTAATCTTTTCTCTCGCAATGAAATTAGACTATTATTATTACTATTATTATATTAATTAGACTGTAACGCTACAAGGTGCGGGCCGATATATCGGCTCTGGCACTTTTCGCCAGTGCAGCGAGGGCCGATATATCGGCCACCGACACTAAAAGGGTTAACTATGAAACATTCTACTCTGCTCGGGACACAGTTTTCCCAGAAGCAACGTAAACACGGATCAATTATCCGAACAGAGAGAGAGAGAGAGAGAGGGAGAGAGAGAGAGAAAGAGAGAGAGAGAGAGAAAGAGAGAGAGAGAGAGAGAGAGAGAGAGAGAGAGAGAGAGAGTACGGATTTCGAAGCTGTCGAAAGTCGTAGTAGGCCGCAGCAGCGTATAAGCCCGGCGGAACGGGAACGAAGAAGCGAATAATTTGCCGGCGTGGCGCCGCGTAGTGCTCTGTGCTCGGTGCTCGGCAATTTTAATTATTAAAGCTCTAAATATAACCGGTGGCTGGCGTAAGCGCGGCGAGTGGAAAGCGACGCGTTTCCCCCTCGCTCGAGAATCGGAACGAGAATAGTTGGGGGGAGGGGGAGAGAGAGGGTTTCAGAGCAAACGGGGGAGAAAGACGGAGTCGGAGCGAGACTGTGCGTGCGTAAGAGTTTGAGGGAGAGAAAGAAGAGAGTCTGGAGAGGAGGGTAGCTTTTGCATATGCACACGTGTGTGGCGCACAGGGGCTGGAAACGATGGAGGAGGTGTCGGCGTCCTCGGTATCGAAAGGGTCGAGAGAACCGGGTATGGAACCGGGTATGGAAGCGGGGGTGTCGGTGGTGTTGGCGTCGGCGTTGGCGTCGGTGTCGGTGTCGGCGTCAGTGTCGGTGGCCGACCACAGCCACGTGCACGCCGCACGCAACGCCGTGCCATGCACAACGAGAAGCGCTATCATTCAGGTAGCGCACTGGCAACGCATTGCACGAATCAGCGTGTAGTTTCTTCTACTTTTTCTCCTCTGTTTCTTTTCCATTTTCTATCTTCTCTTTTCCATTTAATGCAGTAGTGCACGGTTAAATTTACATCGGCTCGGCAGCCAGCATGTAAATTTAAACGTACGGGACACCTTTTTCCCTTCCGAGAACCGACTCGGCCACGGCTCGGCGAAGTTAGAGGATAGACGTAACGAGAGGAAGCGGGATAGATGACAATAGGTCACTTTACGACCCGGACTAAAAAGTTTATTTAGTTATTTATTTGTTTGTTTGTTTGTTTGTTAACGGATATAAGTCCTTCGAAGCCTAAAGTTAGTTACATGTCATGGGTGATGTAATGTTTAATGTCAAGCTCAAACTTGTGGTTAGTTGAGTTATTCTGTACATAAGATGAAAAGAAATTTACGTTCTACAGAAATGCATATTATCTCGTGTGTTATTAAACAAAAGTCTACTTATTTAGTTATAGCTTTTTCTTTTCACTGTTGGGTTCGTATGACGCGTAATGTATACGCAAGGCGTTATAGGGGGTCAAGATTGTTATGTTCAAAGGAACACCGCAGTGTCACAAGAAAATAAACGCGATAAAGAATACCTCTTTTTCAGTAATTGTCACTGTATCTTTGTACTTGTAGCGTCGATGGATACCCGAGATTGTTCCCATTGAAATGAGTCCAAACACTATGTAGATCGAATACTTTTGAATCACTATCGGATTAATTGATAAACAATCTATAATAGTAAGTAGACTGCGGATATTATGCATTTATGAGAAATATTAGTAGATGGAATGTAAAACAGTAAATGCAGAGAATAAATTTAACAATTACGTTTGTTTATGTTCAATTGATTGAAAATGTTAAGAATGAAGATATAACTTTTATTTACCCCCTCTTTGTTGCAATCGAGATGGAAAATTTGTATTTTCCATACAGATCCACTGACATATCCGTACTCCGATTTACACCGTACTTAGATCACTTTAATCGGACGAATTTTAGCTATCCATTGGTGTTACACTCATGAAAGTAGAATAAAAATTTCTGAAAATAAAATTATGTTTCTTGCATGTTTAGTTTGCGTAGACGCGGCATCCTATTGATGTACGCCTGTCTCCCTTCTTTTTTATTGCAGTCATTCTCTGTCCTTGCCTACTGACAAGGAGAGACCACGGGCGCGATAATCGCTTTTAGGATAAGACTGAGTTGATCATTTGTAGCGTATATATGTATATATGTATACTGCAATAAAAGTCTCGTTACGGTTCGTCAAAATAAGCTTTTGTTCTTGAGATGTTTCACTTTAAAGTTTCATTATAAGCACACGTAGACGATGTTGACCGTAGACGCTTTGTTTACTTTGTATCGACACCTCTGTTTACATTTCGGCGCGCATACGTAATTCCCATACAACTAGAGGGGATGATGCGTATCATAGAAGCATGGAAAAACGTAAATTCTTGGAACATCGTGCACGCGTCAAAAATGCTGAATTTTCGTCATGTTTACACATTTTTAGTCTATTCGGGAAACAAACTCTGCTTATATTTTTGAAAACCGATTTCACATTGTTTGTTGGAGCATCGTCGGAAGTGTGGATACACACGATTAACGAAGTGCCTATATTTATAACGAAACCTTAAAATTAAATATTGCAAGAACAAAAACTCATTTTGACGAATGGTATGCGGCCTTTAATTACACTACAGGGTGTCCCAAAAATGTCTCGCAATCCGGAAATGGCGGGTTCCTCGGATCGTTTGAAGCATCTTCTTCCTTTACAAAAATTTT